TCTAACCATTAAATGTTAAGTTCCTTAAGGGAACTGTTCTTCAATCAGCCAGAATCGCTTAATTTATTTTTCTTTAAACTAAAAGACTTGCAAAAATTGAACAAGCGAGAGAGTCCCAGAAAAGGTGAGGTATGTTGCTGTGGTCTGCAGTCCCTGTGCCCAAAATACATGTAGCATGTTGGCAGGTATGTGTCTGGGTCTGAGGTTGGAGGGTGCTCACCTTTGTTCTTCTTTAGTTTATATGAGTAACATCGGATTGAAGTTAACATCCAGGGAGGCAGAGAAGGCAGAGGTGTGGGGAGGCGGGGATTGAGTTTTGTAGATGGCTTTGGGAAGGGGGTGGGGGTCTCGTTTATACACTGGCTCTGAATGTCATTCATTCCATCATTTACTTGCTAAGTGCCTACCATATACCAGACATTCTTCAAGGTGCTGGTATCTGCCAGTTGTATTGTACAGTATGAACGCTGCCTGTTCGTCCTCCCTGTCTCCCTGGTGCTTTGAGTCCCTGGAAGCACTCAATAGGTATTCTTAAAGCAATTGGCCTCTAAATACTATTTATTATGCCCTATGGTCTCTTTCACCTGCCCCCAGGGAAGAGCTTTCTAGCCCTGAAGAGCTAATACAAAGCTGCATAAACACTGGGGTCTTGTCACAGATGACTGGGTAACCATACACCCAGCTGAGCCTTAAAGAAATGTTCTTCTCATCCTCAGAAATAGGGAATTTTTTAAACCAAAAAATGTTGCCATGAATTGGGTACATTCCATTCTCGTGATTTCCTTCCTTTACGTTTTCAGTTCATTCAGTAAATATTAATTCATGAGTCTATATTGTATGGCAAGCACTATGCTGGACATAAGAGATGCAATAAATGGTAAACAATTTTGTATTAGGTTCCTTTTGCCTCTATAACAAATTACCACAAGCATGAGACTTACAACAACACAAATTTATTCTCTTAAAATTCTGGAGGTTAGAAGTCCAAAATCAGTTTCACTGGGTTAAAATCAGGGTGTTAGCAGGGCCAGTCCTTCTAGAAGCTCTAGGGGAAATCTGCACCTTCCAGCTTTAGAGCCACCTGTATTCCCTGCCATATGGCCCCTTTCTCCATCTTCAAAGCCAGCAACATAGCATCTTCCAGCCTGTTTCTGTCTCTGTGCTTCCATAGTTACTCTGCCTCTGTGTCTCTGACTCTCTTGTCCACCTCTTATAAGGACCCTTGTGATTACACTGAGCCTACCTGAATAATCCAGAATAATCTCCCCATTTAAAATCCTTAACTTAATCACATCTGCAAAGTCCCTTTTGTCATCTAAAATAATATAGTAACAGATTCCAAGGATTAGGATTGGACATTTTGGGGAGAGGTGGGGCCATTTTTCAGCCTACTGCAACAAAATACTAGACTCTAATTGCACAGCAAGGCAAAAATGGGGTAGGTTTTTTGTTGGTTTGCTTGCTTGTTTGTTTTTTATGCTTTATTCCAGCCATATAGTTTCAGTGGAAATAAATTTGTAAAATAAAATATGGAGAAAATATGTCTGTTAATTTCAAATTGTGTCAACGTTAAGAATAAGTCTTTCTCTGATAAAACTCTACTTTGCAAACAGAGCATTAACTATACCATCAAACATTTTAGGGTATAAATCTAAACTGTCACCTTAACCATATTTCAGTATGAAAAGATGGGAATCTTTATTTGCAAAGGGAAGAAATAAGACTTCTCTGCCCTTAGCCTGTGAGAAACTTCGGTCAACAAGCCTTTATTCAGTAGCTTCTTTGATTAAAATGACAGACATTCTAAATCCCAACTATGCAAAGAGGCAGCTTTCATGGGAGAGGAAGTGTTGGGTACAGAGGTTGGGGATCTCCTGGTAGAGTCAATGCTCTTGTTGAGGTTTTAATTTTCCCTAAAGTTCTCTGTAGTTTTGAAAATTCGAGTGTGAAAATTAGTGCCCTAAGGTATCTCAAACATAAATTATAACATTAGGCAAATAAGAGAATCAACTTGGAGAGGGAGGAATCTGGCCACAGAGAACAAGAAATATAATATCAGAGGCAAAAAATGAGACAGGTTGGCTGAAACAGGGCCTGAGAGGCAGACACAGTCAGACTGTGTCCAGAACGCCACCCAAAGAGGACAGCGTCCTGAAAAGTCCAGAGGCCTCAGGCGCATCATCATGGGGTCGACATCTGCCTGTACCACCACGTAAGAGTAATGTAGCTGTGGGCAGACTATTTAACCTTTCTGAGCATCATCGGTAAAATGGGGATGATGGTACCTGGCTGAATAAATAAGATCATCTGGATACAAGCACCTACGTTTTCAGTGCCTGGCTGATCAATGTGCAGCCAATTGCGACGATCATTTTGTAGTGAGAGTGAGGGCGGCAGCCCCAGTCTTAGCATTCCCTTTCTTCCCTGTTGCACCATGTCCTTCATCTTTTGTGGCCCTCCTCCCATTTAAGGCTGTGCTTGATATTCACCTTGGCCAAACAGAAGATACTATTTTTTTAAGGTACACTTATGATTTGCTTCACGTCCTGGGCTTGTTCTAATGCACATGGATGTGCACACGCACACATACACACTCTCCCAGAGGATGACCCTGTATCTGTGACTCATACATGGCAGCCAATTTCCAAGCAAACTTAAGCACTATAACATGGGTTCGGGCTTTGCCCGATCAGTTGGGATTTATCTGCAGGCTCATAGGTCATTCCCTGTAGCAAGCTAAAAAATTCACTTTCAAAGTGGTTCATAACCTGTAGAAATGAAAGCCCATAGCATAACATCTCAGGTAAAAAATCCAATGTCACTCAGATCAGGCTTACTGGCTGAAGTCTGGTGATTATGAAGTGAACTCTGTTGTTGGAAACCTGTATGAGCATCAAAGTCTGTCATCACTTTTATTGGCGGGTGCCATGGGCTTAGACGGCAAGAGGGCAGGAAGGGAGAATACTGCCGAGCTAGTCAGAGAAACAATGGAGAGAAGCAGAGCGACAGCAGCATAGAGAACTTTGATTTTTCTAAAAGTGGAATTATTTGTGTAATGGGAAGCAATTAAAACTTATGGCCATGTGGTTTGTGTTAAATGTTAAGTGTTTCAAAACGGTTAAGTGTGTTCTTGCACTCAGTGGAAATTTGATTCTCTACCAACCAATTGAGTGGAGGGGGAAAAACACAGGAGGGACTAGTTTTCTAGAAGGAAAATGAAAATGAGAAAAAAATAATGTCATTTTACATTCCATTGGGGATTTTGAGAAGATTTCTCTTGGCTTTTTTGGAATGACACACATGCAAATGGTAGAATCATCGAATTTTGAGATGAGCATGGAAATTTGCAGTAGCCGTCTATCCCCAGCATCTCTCACCAGCCTCCAGCTGCTGCCCAAAGTCTGCAGTAGAGGGTCCCTACTTTTTCTTTTCAAGGCAGCCCATTCTATTTTTGAGCCAATCTGGCTTTTTTAGAAAGTTTTTCTGTCTACTACGTTGAAGATCTCTCCCTTACTGTTGCTACCTATTCGGCCTAGTTATACCTTTCTTATACTACTACTGAATTGTTTTTAATAATTTTACAACTGGATAAACTGGAGCTAAGATGGGTTAAGTCACTGGTGCATTATTTCATAGCTACAAGGATTTAAATCCAGAACTGCCCCACTGCAAATCTCCCATTCTTTCCATATGTCACCCATCCTGTCACTCTAGGGAAGAGGAAGGCAGCCTGCTATCTAGCATGGGGGACAAGTCGTAAAGACCTAACAAGAACTGAGCTCAGAGGAGGGAGGGAAGAGTTGGTGAGTGGAGTGATGGAGCGGGATAAAGGCACACCCCTCTCTGATCAGGGCTACACTTTCTTAAGCCGGGCTGACTGTGGTTTTCTCCATGTAACTCACATCCAGCTATTGACAGCTTTCTACCTGGTGACATGCTTAATGGCCCATGACATTCTAGCCCTCAGGGCTCAAGCCTGATAGTTATGGTTCGCCACATAAACCTAAAGTGGATTGTAAATTTCTCTCTCTTAGATTTAGGTGACTAAAACGGCTGTTCAAAACTCTGGGCAGGATAGTCAACTTGATGGACATGTACCAACTTTAAAAAAGATTAGAATGGGAGTGGGGTGCAGAAAGTTGCGGCTCCCAGAAACCTCCTGGAGTGGAAGCCTTCTCATGTACTTGAGGTATTGATGCTATGGGGAAGGGTGTGGGGGTGGTGGTGCACATTGATTTTGTACCATAGAATAGTTGCATATTTTGTGTAGCCAAAATCTATTATACCGTAATGAAAAAGGGAAAGTTGTTCAGCATAGGTAAGAAGCTTTTTCTAAGCTCCAGGGTAAGCCAAATGGATATTTATATAGCTAGACATGGATGTGGCGGGAGATGTCTAAATACGAATACTCTGCTTGCTGAAGTTTGGAGAAACCTTCTCTGGAGGCAAGCAACAGGTGATGTTTATGTGAGTTTAGGTGTGTTTGTCCTTCAGACTTGGAGACAGCAGCTTTCTCGTCTCCTGCTTCTCTGATGTGAGTTTGCACACAAATCTCACCAGCAAGTTCCAGCATGCAGATTTTAAGAGGAAACCTCTGTATATTTCCATGAAAAGATGGTGACATTGTAACAACAACCAAAGAGATAACATTTCCCTCTGCCTCATGCCTACTCCCCAATCAAAACTCTTTAGTATTTTTCTCCAAAAGCTTCTCTCTCTTCCTACGGATAATAGTATGGGTGGTTAGGAAGGATGTAGTTAGAAGTCGGTCTGGCATATTGAAAAGAGCTCAGGCATGAGAGGCAGAAAGATGAGGTTTGAATCAGCTTGTCTACGTTTTTGTTGTGTAACTTTCGACTTGTTATTTAATCTCTGAGCCTCAATGATCTAATCTGTCAAATGAGGATAAAAATACCAACCAAAACATTGTTATGAGCGTGAATGACACTAAGAATTGAAAAGTGATAGATTTGTAAAACAAGAATATTGTTTGCAAGGGGTTGGTATCGTTCATTCTTTATTCTGGAAGATAATTTGCTTGAAAATTCAACTATGTACTAAATCTTCCTCTCTAGGGACTAGCATAAAATTACAAGTTCCTTCTTAGTGGAAATCTTCACTAGGGCTCCACGAATAAACTCTCTCGACTCCTGGTTTCATCCCTCAGGAAGAGGCATTCTCCTCGCAGGCAGGCGTGTTCACACCATGAGAAAGCTTTCGCACCGTCTCTCTCTGGAATTTCTCTCTCCAGTTTTTGAGACAGCCTCGCTTCAAGGACAGAGCGGTGGTTTGGAAACAAATTCAGACCTGAGTGCCTCCCCTCCTCCATGCTGGGGGTGGCATTTCCAGGCTTCCTCTTCTGCAGATACTTTGTGAGTAACCTGAAGTTGGAATGCCCTCCTGAGGTCGATCTATAAAAGCCAGCAACATAAATAGGAACTAAGGCTGAAGTAAGCATAAATGTTCTCGAACAACTTCAAGAGAGAAAGGCTTGTTTGATCCTCTCTAAACTTCCTGAAACCGAGCGGAATATTTGTTTGTTTTGTGGTAGCTCAACTTTTTCTTCAGGCCTTGTAGTGCATTGCTGTTGGTTTCTCTGTTTAAAAGGAAAGTGCTTTTTCTCAGTAATGACGCTCGCATTCTCAGCTCAGTGATACCCACTTCTAAAGGCCATTTCATCACAAAGATAAAGCTCTGCTAACTCTTAAGACCCAACAGATAAAGGATGTGGCCAGTTACCATGACTTGTGCTACCTCCTGGAGGGTGTCATTGGTGCGCATACCTACAAGTGCGTGAACAGATAGTTTCTAGATTTATTTTCGCATTGAAGATTTGATCCCACGAGGGGAAAATGTCAACGTAAATGACTATGCAAAAATGACAAAATAGCATTTTGACCTTTCAGTTGCAGAGAAACAAAGGCCTAGTGAAGGTGAGTTTGCTCTTCTCTTGCTTTTTGAGGAGCCTATTGGTAATTGGCACTATGGTTTATTGTTTTAATATTTGTGGAACTTCAGTGTCCACTAAGCTCTGCAGATGTCCAGTCCAAATTAGATAGACGGACCAGGAACAATACAGGGAGAAAACCCCCCAGGGGCAAAGCAGAGGGATCCTTTGCAGAAGAGAGCGATGGAAGTGAGTGCTTCCTTTTGGCCTCCTTTCTGGTAGATGTGTATCGACACCATAAAACCAGTATGTGTTGTCGGGCTCATTGACAACACCTAAGACAGAATGTTCTGAAGTTAGAAGAGCTAAGAAGGGGCAGATCAAGGCTGAGGTGCTTGGCAGAGTTTTCAGATACATGTAGAGTGTTTTTTCTATACCTTATCTCCAAAACGCTCGTGTCCCTAGGTTTCTGTGTCTCAGGGCCCCTTAAGAATAGCACTTAAGGCTGTGACAGCAATGCTCAGATCTCCTCTCTGCAGCCTGTGAACAGAGGGGATATTTGCCAGGTGTCAGATGCAAGAATCGTATATGCCATGGATTTTTTTTTTTCCTGGAAGCAACTGGAAACCAACTTAGTGACACTTAAGTCCTTCACCTGCTGCATCACTGTAGCCAATGGGTGTGAGCCAGAGCAGTACCAAGTAGGGCCCTCATAGGAACAGCCACAAGAGTTACAGGCTCTGGCTGGGAGTGGAATGATATTCTATGTTCAGAGTCATGGCAACTTGAACTTGGCAGCCAGATCTGCTTCTGAGATTACGAGTGCCTCATGGCCAAGTGCACCTGTGTCGAGAGTTGACCGTGGAGTGGGCTGGAGATTGAAAAACCTCTTTTGTAGCTAACGATTCATTTGAACTCCATTAACAGCTGGATGATTAAGTAGCAGTTTAAGTGCTACAGTTACCTGGCACGGCTCTCCATCCTCCATATATTCAATAAAAGATACATAGAGTATCACCAGAAGCTTCCTTCCCTCCCCAAAAGAGAGGGGATGCTTAGAATTAAAAGAATGTTTCCATCATCAAAGCATGTAAAATTAAACCGGTGTGAAACTGAGAACCCTCCATGAGGTCTAATAATAAGTTCTCATTGCAAAAGGCTGTTTTCCAGCAGATTAAGGACTAGATTTTGTGATAGACATGTTTCAACATATGTGCACTTCTCAGAACACGCTCCATTTACTTTCATGAGTTATGATTAGCTGGTTTCTGTGTTTAACCCGTAGCATTTTTCTATAATAGTGCCTCTATAGAAAATTTTACTCTAGGCGTGTGGGTGACCAATTATAATGCTTTGGTTTGCTTTGAAAGAGAAATCTGTTCAACATTTCTAATAGCCACATTTTCCTAAGAAAATGATCTATGGGCACCCAAAGTTAAAGTTCCAAAAATTATTTTCAAATTTTCTTCAAATGATTTTAAATGAAATTGAGAAATGGTATTGACAATGCATCCAATATTGATGTAATTAGGATATATATCATACTCTGCTAATACCAACCTTCTTTAATATGTTTGTATATATGTAAAGTAGCATGTAGTTTACTGCATATCAAATTTCCCATTTATCCCCACCTTCCTCACGGCTGTATTTGGAAGGCATCTTCATACTTTTGTTGTTGTTAGTGCTATGGAGTCAATTCTGACTCCTAGCAACCCCGTGTACAGCAGAGCAGAACCCTGCCCGGTCATTTTTGTGCCATCCTCTCACCTCCCAGTGCTATAGCAGACAATGCTCCGCTGCTATTCATGAAGTTTTCATGGCCAATTTTTTCAGAAGTGGGTGGCAAGGTCCTTCTTAGTCTGTCTTAGTCTGGAAGCTCCGCTGAAACCTGTCGATCATGGGTGAGCCTGCTGGTATTTGAAATACCAGAGGCATAGCTTTCAGCATCACAGCAACACGCAGCTGCCACAGTATGAAACAAACGACCAACAGACGGGTGTTGTGGGTCCCTGACCGGGAAAGGAATCCAGGCCACAGCCGTGAGAGACTCAGATCTTAACTCCTAGACCATCAGGGCTGGCTACCTTCATACTTACTTGAATACAGATGAGACACTATCACGCTTTCAAAAGCGTCTTCTCGCCCTCTCTCCCGCTCCTCCCTCAGTCGGCCTCATGTGAAGTGAGCCAATCGAAGTCAGCATAACTTCTTCCCCTTTGCCCTGTGTTCTCCCTCCTCCTTATATAAGCCTTGGTGGCCTCACACCTTCCCACAGCCACTGCCACAGCTGGCTGGGCAACCTGCAATAGCTGTCTCACTCCCTCACCTGGTCCCTGCGGCTGACCCAGCTGCCTCTGGGGTGTGATGCCAGGGATTCTGAAGACAGCTGTGGCAGGAGGAGGGTAGAGAGGCACCTTCCAGCCGGTATTCCTCCGTCAACAACGAACTCGGCACACGGCGTTTGGTGTCTAAGGCATTAGACTCTTCTCTTTCTGAACAGTTTTGGTCCTTGAATATCCCTAGTGCAGGGACAACCTCTGTGATTAAAAAGCGAAAAATGTAATAGCAATAATAAGGCTTTTCAAGGCAGAAACTCAACCCACTATTTTGGTTTGTTTTGCTGTCTCTCTCTTACCTTTTCACTCTTGCCTCAGGACCAGTTGTTGTTTTGCTTAATTCATTCAGCCAACATTTGGCAAGGAAGCTGCAGGCTCTGGCAGTGATGGAAACGCTGAATCTGCTGACGTCTCCAAGTGCTTAGAAGAGAGGTGGGCATCTGCGAAGCCAGGCAGAGTTGGGGCGTCACCTGTACAAGGTTTCACAAGTCCCTGTGTTTTCTGACTCAGGGGACCAAGCCCTATCGGTTTGCTCATAAACTTTTGTGTGCCATTTGCAAACCTTGTTTTTGAATGTGGTTTGAGATAAAAGTTTAAGGCATCACAGCACATCAGAGTATAAAGGAATCAGAGAGGAGGCCCTTGTAGTCAAGGACACTGGGGCCTAGATTTAGCAAGCTGTAAGCTGTACACATAAAGTTAACAGCAAGGGCCACAGTGCACACTGGAATAAAAGAAATAAGGACGTGGTCCATTTCCCAATCAATGCCTAGGGAGCCACTTAGAGTGAGAATAGTAGTTTTGTTTTTTGCTAGACTCTTCTTCCAGGTCATAAACACTTCCTACCAGAGCTTACTGAGCCCAAAAATAAATATGGGGAGAAAATCCTTTGCATGTATGAAGTACTTTATATTTTCTACCTCCTTCTCAATCCTTAATTAAGCTTTTCAGCCACCCTGTGAAGCCGGTCATTACCACTGGGTGAGGAAACAGAGTCCCACAGGAGCTATGTCACTTGCCCAAGCGTACGAGCCAGACAGGCCTGGCAGGGTGAGGCTTCCCAGTTTCTGATGCCCACGCCCCGTGTGCAATCCAGCCTCGTCACCCTGGGTCTTGGCGTGGGGAACCAATAAACAAACAAATGACTGTGGCATTACTTTAACTTCTGGGAGCAATGGGTTCTTATTCAAAATAAGAACAAGGAGCAAGACAAATAGCATCTAATTGCAAAGCTGTTGGGGAAGAGTGGTGTCACCATTTGGGGGCCTGGAGTTCTGCTCTTTCTGAAGCGATATGTCCACTTCGAAGTTTCCCTTTATTACTCATATGCCCACGTTTTATTGAGCAAAGGTAGCATGTGCCTTGCTGGGCAGTACGGATTCAAAAGTCCTACCACGAGTTCTATTTTGTTGTCTTCAGGCTCAATACCGTGTGATATGGTGTCATATGGGCTGTAATAGAGCCATATGTGGGAAGAGATGGAAATTCAGAAGAGGAAAATTACCTTCTCTGGGGTCAGGGAAGGCTCCATAGATAAAGTGACATTTAAATAGAACCTAAAAAGATGAGTAGGAGTTTGCTAGCTGGAAACAAGGCAAAAGAGCATTTGGGCAACTGTGGTAGAGGTTTGATCAATTATGCCTTCGGAATCCACCCCCGTATTCAAATCGTGTTCCCTATAACCTACAGTGTAAAACTGAAGCAATAAGCTCAGCTCTCAACTCCGATGTCACGTTGGCTCCCTTTGTCCTTTGAGAGGTCTCCCAGCACATTCTTCCCACGCCACACGGAAGGCCAAGGATTTCTGAGAGTTTCGAGATTTGAGAGGATGGGGGGAGGGGCACCCAGGGCTGCGTTTTCACTCACCTCTGGTGCTGAATTTCTGCTTTTCACTGATTCATTTCTGTTTATCCAATGTTTTTATATAGCAGGTGTATGTATGTATACGTGTGTGTGTATAGATATACAAATATATATCATACATACATATATATTTGTGCGTGCAATCTGCCCCTTACTTGAGTAAAAAAATAGACTTCACTGAACATATTACTGGGGTGGGGGACAAGGACGGATAGCAAACAATGGCTTCCTTCCACGGAAATACAAACCACTTCAAATGGGTCCTTAGAGCCTTGTTGTTGGTGCCCTCAGCAGCTGAGCCACCACAGAGTTTTTTCACTTTAGCCTCTTGACCACTTGTCCTTTTGTCTTCCTCCTCTGTCCTTTTTCCCACTCCTGTCTCTCATCTCTCCCTCTCACCCTGAGATTCCTACTTATTTTTCTCCTTCACCTTTCTCCTCCTTCACACCACAATCCTGCTCACCTCCATTAAATTGTCCCTTGGTTCTTATTGCCTACATCTTCAAGATCCTAGCTTATCATGGAATTTTCCCAAGCAAAGACAGTTCCTTTCCTAAGAGAAGTTTTTTATTTGTTTTTTGGTTTTTTATTTTGAGGAAGATTGGCCCTGAGCTAACATCTGCCACCAATCCTCCTCTTTTTGCTGAGGAAGATTGGCCCTGAGCTAACATCCGTGCCCATCTTCCTCTATTTTATATGTGGGATGCCTGCCACAGCATGGCTTGACAAGCAGTGGGTAGGTCCGCAGCAGAGATCACACCTGGCAAACCCCAGGCCACTGGAGCAGAGCATGTAAACTTAACTGCTACACCCCCTGGCCAGCCCCTCCTAGAAGAAGTTTTGGTATTATAGTGGTTTTAATTTCCATTGGCCTGTCTGTGACTCACCATATCTTTGCACGTAGCATAGTCCCTGGCAATAAGTGGGCAATCAATATTATTTGTTCTATGAATTGATGAATCAATTAAATAGTGCTTTGAAAAGGTCTGTCTCATCCTGGTGTGTGACTATACCGAAATTCTGACCCTGAATGCTGGCTGAACAGAGGCTTAGCCACCTTAATAAGGCAGGCCCAGTGACAGCCCTCTGCATGGCGATGCCTACCAGTCACTGAAGCCAGGCTGCCTAGATGCTCCAAAGGCCATGTTCTTTAAACCAAGTGGCTATTTAGCCAGGCCTTCACGAAGGCCAGGGATGGAAGGAGACACACCAGCGGCAGCACAGGATTCACCTTTTGGGAAAGAGGCAGAACGAAGCACAGGAATGAGAAGGGCACAATCATAACATTTCGTTTCTTCTTAAAAGAGCTCAAGTAGCAATTGTGAAATCTTGGGAATCAGAATGTGCATTTATCAAGTCTCTTTATATGTTTCAAATATTTTGTCGTTTAAAAAAGTTTCCATAATTATAAAAAAAAACTAAAGAAAGAAAAAGAAAATCCCATATCGAAGATGCCAACTGAAAGTTGCCTCTACTAATGAAGAGACATTTCAAAATAAGATGCTTTTCCAAGAAGAGAAGTATCTGGGGCCCTCGGTCCCCCAAAACAGGAGATGGCTTCCAACGGATGTTGCCAGCATGAGGCAAAACCTTTGAGTTTCACGTTAAGTCTTGGCTGCTGGAGGTCTTTCTTGATTTCTGCTGGCACGTGATTAAATTGTTAAAGGGCTGTGGTAAAGACGCACACACCTGTCCGCAGAAGCACTCACTGGGGATCCCCAGTTCTTATAAAAGCCTGGTGAACTAGTCCTCTCTTCCCCTCCCTCACCGTCCCTGTACGAGGAATGCAAGGAAGGACCTTAAGGAATTTTCTCAAACTAGTCCCGTTCCCAAGTCCTTTTCAGAGCAACATGGAAATAGTATAAAAAATATATATATATCCCAGTGGCTTCCCGTGCTATTCTAGCAACTTCCTGGGAAGGTGAGAGAAAAGCACAGACATTCCAGCAGCCACTTTGGTTACTAATAAGTCTCAGAGGAGCCCCAGTCACGAGGTTCTGTCCAAGTCGCCACACACTGTCCCGAACCTTCCTT